ATGAGAGAGGAGTTCACCTGCATAAAGACTCCATTATCACTTAAATTGTTTGCTGGCTTTGTGCGTTTCCATCAGTGGCGTCAGATGACTTTCACAGAAAGGTAAGCAGAGATGATGGATTAATATTACTGCTGCATATGTTTGAGAAATATTCTGTTTATTCACAGCATCATAATCTATAATTCATGTTTGTTGTCCTGTAAGGACAAATATCTCTTGCTACAATGGCTGAGCACAGCCCTACATCTTCATTTAAAAACAACAACAACAGTCAGTGGCATAAACAGGCTAGCTGTGTTTCCACACAAAGCTAGCTGCACTGCCTCACTTCTTAAAGCAACTAGGTTGATGAAAAAGACGAGAGCAGTTACTGAGGTCAGTTACAGGACACATAATGCACTCTCAGCATTACAGAGGTGAGTGACAACAAACACATGGCCTGTAAAAGCAAAGATTCCTTAGGAGAGAAATGAAAGCTTGCACACATACAAGGTAATACTTGCACTTTGTTCCAGTCACTCACAGCATTTTGTTCAACTGTATATAAAAGAAAGTGTACTGTGGCTTTGGCGGTGACCTGAACCATAGTCCAGAGGACTGTACTACGAAACCACATTACTGGATTAGCAAACCAGGTCTCGCTTCAAGTCAGAGTTTTCAGCGTCACGAGAGAGGTTCGGTTTTTACCTGGCTAAATCACCATGGTAACTTATACTGACAATAAAATCTGTTCATAGATTTGGTTTGTTTTTAACTCTTCTGGTCTTTACTGTATGTTTTAAATTTGATAGATTCTCTTCCAGGCGAATAAAATTTAAGTTGTTGAGTCGTATCTCACTAAAACCACTGAATGAAGCACTGCATTATCACATTAACGTATAAATGTGGTACTTGATTCAAGTCTCTTTCACACTGCTGGAACTGCAGCTACCACAACAGAGGACACACACCAAGATTACCTGCTCAATCAATATTACAATTTGATCTGCAACAAACTACAGTGATTTCCATGCCTCTGTTATTAGGCTATGGGACAATAACATGTAATGTCTAAATATATCCGGCTTAAAGTTTCAGAGCCCTAATGTGCAGCAGCAATCTTAGAAATGAACAGCAACACGTTATCATCTGATAACGTCTGACTAGAGTAGGCGCCGCACAGGGACCATTTCGGGTTAAAGAAGAATGACATTTTGGGGGTTGCCCCAAAACGTTTTAACGTTTGCAAAATGCAAATTTTTATGAGAGCACGCTCGCAACCTGAAGCAGAAAGGCCGGCTTAACAGGGAAAGTTGATCGCTAGCATCATGATCCTTGTTACCTAGCTGGGTTTTTAGAATTTGTTGAGCCAGCTAATGCAAGGTAAGCTTTTCTGTGTTGAACTTGTGGGCAGAATACTCCTCAGTGTCATCGCTTACGACTGACGCTCTTCTTGTCTGTGTTGTTGTCCGTTGTCATCAGTCGTCTGTGTTTGTTTTGAAAATGTGCATTTCATTTAGTCGCACACTGCAGACTAAACCTACCTCATCGTAGGCCAGACGAGGACCCATCAGAGCACTGCTCTACACCCTCCATTAAACCCAGTGTGACACCAAAACACAAAAACCACAGTAGCAAATAGGTGAGAGAAATGTGCCACAATGAATACATTAATTCAGAGAGATGAGGCAGACAAGCATCTCTGCAAATGCAGTCACATTACACTCTAATATGTAAATCAAACCAGCAGTCAGAAGTCAAAAATATCCTCTTGCTTTCTGTCATGTGATGACAGATCAGTATTCCCACTCCAAACACACACAGACACACAAACCAGTCCACACATGAATCTATTTGCATGCACTCAGGTGCATCTTTGCTGCAGGTGTCTATATGAAAATAGAATGAGGCAGAAAACAATGTCATCTCAATAATGATGACATCATTTTAAGACATTATTGGGGAAATTAGGTAAAAATGTCACTGACTGGCTAGCTACTGCCATCACTTTGACTACCACTGATCTAACAGCTCCAGGTGACACAGTCTGCAAATCTTCCAATCGGTGCTAGCGACAGGATTTAACAGGCATCGCATGACAGGTGATGGCAAGCTGGCGGCACTCATTCGTACAAGTGAGTATGTGAAAGTATGATTTATGCGTCAGCTCCAAATGACGAAACTTGAAGTGTGAAAAAGTATCCAGCACGCTGACATGATTACAGGTCAGTCAGTTAAACAGTTCTAATGATGGTTATTGATACGTGCTATCAGCTGTCCGTCCTTATCAGGTAAATGATTCAGTAATATCAGCACACACAGGTGTGAGATTTTCAGATACTTTGCATATATATAAATAACGAACTCAGTGTGACAGTCACCACAGCATACACAGCTTTTACACTACTGTGACACTTTGTAGTTAACAGCCAATTTCTTACAAAAATAAAACAGATGAGAAGCAGCTAATGATTATGGAAAATCACACATATCCAGGTAGAGCACAGTTGCAAAGGAAAAGTCATTACTGAAAAGTCCAACCAACACCAAAATAAAAGTCTGTGTGACCTCTGCCACAGACTGTTCTCACTGCATAACCAGCCCGAATGCTGGGACAAAGACAGGAAACACCTCCTCAGGCTGCAGCATTAGTCCAAACTAAATATCACTGACAAGCTGTCTGGCTGAAAAGTTTGGAAAAACAAAATCTGATTGATGACCAACTTTACATTCTCCTTCTGGCCTTGACTCTAACGTGCATGCAAACACCATGGATATTCAGCCATGACTGCTAAGATGGCTTGTGCTAACCCAGAAAGAGTCGCAGAAAAGGAAGCCAGCAGTATCGCTGTGTCCCCCGACTGCAAACAGTTCCAGCCATGATACGTTTGCATGCAATTCTTAATTTACCAGTTTAACAAAGTGCTTCCTACTTTCCAAAGTGTGAGCGGTGACGTGCCAGGCATAGATCGCAAGAGCCAATCCAGTCACAATTCCCTACCCAGCGTGGAATTTGCTCCCGAGGTAAACAACAGGAAACACAACTGCACAAAATGCAGTCACATGCATTTCACTCGTGTACACACGTGCACACACGTGCACACACACACACACACACACACACACACACACACACACACCTTTACAGGAAAGAGGCCACAAAACATTAGCAGCTCTCTTTTATCTTCTAGTTGTAGCGCGCCGGCTTCCCTCTCCACCTTCAGTTACGCACCGTCATGTTTACTGCACTTTGCTACAGACACACACGAGCGTTACACTCGATACAGATGAAAATTAAGACTTGAAATGAGATGCAGACAGTTTGGATTTCCATCTGCTTTTGTCGCTCCTCTCTTTGCTGTGTCCTCTTTATGCTATTACACGTCTTTCTCATTGTCTCACGAGAGATTATTACACCCGATCATGTTGCATTCAAACAAGCTTCTTCTGGCTTCACAGCTGTAAAAAGAACAGTCATAAAAAAAACAGAAAATAATCCACTGGTGAGAGTTAAAGTGGCCTGATGGCACCGTTATCGTCTATGAGGGTAACTTCTATGAGCTTGTGTTGCCGACATTCAAATGAGTGAGTATCTACCGCCATGTGTAGAACACGGTGGAAGCTCTGACCAGAACCTACAGCAGGTGGAGAGCTGGTTCAAATACCACACCCATCTCCAGCTGCAGTCAAAGAGTTTGAGTCTGAGAAGCAGCTGATTATACAGCTCCAAAATTTATTGGGGTGGTTTCTTCACAGTAAGTTGCCCTCAACCTTATGAAAGACATGGGTGATAATTCAATAAATAAGAACTCAATAAAAAAATGAGTGAATCCAGAATTGTTAGAGCTCAGCATTAGAGCCAAACAGACCCAACAGCAGGGGGTGTCCACTGGCTTCACTGCATTCTACTGTGCAGTTTTACTGGTCCAGGATGGCGTTCATATTTTGACACAACGTGCTAAATCATCACGTCAGTCAAGCTGACATCAAATGCAGCGTTTATAATAACTCCACTTCAGCGGCCATCTAAAGTAACACCATGACATTTGAGAAGTCGTTCAATAAAACAGAAAAACCACAATAAAGCACTTAACGATGAAGTAGACTGGCAGAGATCAAAATACATCTGAAATTTATTTTCATGTTGGGGAAGTTTGAGGGTCTTATACAGTTTAAAAATACACACAGACATACAGGTGCTGGATAAAACCCAGACCTGCAACTCGCTCTGTAATTTGTGTGCAGCTCTGGAGAGACCTCAGCCTTTAACTGAAAACCACATCCTCAGTGAAACTGTGATGATAGCCAGTCAATAACTTTCCTTAGAAATCGAGGATTTTTCTTCTTCACACACAACCAAACAATAAAACTCAACGATATCTCTTGACCAACACATCTAATGATATTTTTCTTGCTTCATCCAACAACAGGCAGGAATCAGGGCTCAAAAACACAGGATGATCCTCCACCTTTGCTGTCCTCTGTGGCTAATGCACCCACACCCACACGGTGAGAAACAAACACGCACTTGTCCAATAATGAGCTGCTGATAGATACTGGCAATATCATGCGGCTCTTAAGCGCCCACAGATGCTCGTCTTCCAGGACTTCATTAGCTCTGAATGGGGGGGTGAGAAAAAGCCTTTTCAAGTTTATGAATGAAAGCCTCTGACTTTCATAAACACACGTACGTGTGTGTGTGTGTGTGTGTGTGTATTCCCTTGCATGCTTTTGAGCCCCAACCCCCCCCAAAGGAAATGAACGCCAGCTCGCGCCAGGAAAATCCTTGATGGAAAGCAAAGACTGGAAGTCAGTGAACTTTGGCGCCTCCAGTAACTTACAAATACAAACGAGCTTAAATAAAAACACACATTTCGTCCGCTGAGCTCATTTATATAAACCACAGTGTTTGTCGAGCAGGTGTAAAGTTCACAGCTTCCTTGGGGCAAAAACTATTAGCTAGCTGCTGCAGAAATTAGCCGCGCGCTCACAGAGCAGCGCTGCGTGTGTTCGAGTCTCACCTTGTTGCCTCCAACTTCAGCACTGACGTTTCTTCTGAAGCTGGAAAAGTTTCCGCTCTGAACAGTTTGATGTCGTGCTGCGGGTTTGTTCCTCGCTGTAGAGCGTGGTGAGGATGAGCTTCAGCCTCCCGGAGTCCAGCAGAGTAAACTCTTTCACTCTCTCTCGCTCTTTTTTCCTTTTTTCCTTCTTTTTTTTCTCAATGGGCGTAACACCATCGGAGTGACGTCACCTGTTACCGTAACAGGCGCTACAGCGGGACGTCAAAAACGAGCAGCCGTAAATACGCGACACAACACGCAAAGCGGATTTGTTTGGCTATTTTATACAGAAAACCACTTTTTACAAGAACAAAGGAATAAATAAAATGTTTATGTTAGTTGCATTTGTATGCAAGTTACTGTCATTTTATAACGTTTCAAATAAATAGACAAACTCGTGTTGCGTGGGAATAATAAACAGCATTGTCTGCACGCTGTTTATTTCCTGAATCCTTAAGGCTTCTGAATGCCATGCAATGAATTATCTATTTCTATCGTTTCCTATTTCTGTATTGTTGGTACACAGGATTAATTCAATATTACATGTAAACTCATTGTATATATCGCACATTTGTACATAGTATAAAACACTTTTGGATTAATAATGCTTGATTTAGTATATCTTTGATTCGATTTTTCCGTCTGAGGCTCCAGCGCCCCCAGCGCCCCTGAAAAGGATAAGCGGAAGCGAATGGATGGATGGATTTTTCCGTCTGACTTGTGAGCTGTTGTAAGACGTAAATTTCTTAAGTGTGGGATTAATTAAGGTGTCTTATTTTTTTTAAAAACGGTCACACCGCCTGACAAAAGAGATTTCATACATTTTTGAACCAAGAAATTGTAATAAACACCTTACGTGGCACAAAGACAGCACTTATTGGAATAAACAGCTAATTTAACACATTTATTACCATTTCATGTTTTGGTGTGCGTTTTATATGAAGCTATACTTATTCTTTGTTTTGGTTTGTTAAACCATGACTAAAAACAAAATTAAACTTGAAAGGAATGTAACAGGAAATAAGATGAAAAAGGTTCACATGAAGCACTGCCTCACATTCAGCAGAGGGAGACATTTTCATACTTTAGCTCAGAATAAGTGGGAATTAGACATCAGTTATATTTTTGTAACGTTATATCCTGTTAAACACAGTGAGTCAGTGTGTTCTCTTACCACCGTCTATTGATGCTGTCCATACAATCCATGTGGGAAAAACAAAGAGAACAACACATATGTACAAAGGAACGAGACTCTGGGAACAAGCCTCCATTTCAGTTCCATTTGCCCTTTAGATGACTAGAAAAGTGCTTCATGAAAAATGACTTCACACTGAAGAGTTGTTCATCACAGCAGCGCTGGTGTGACGGAGGATAATATAAGTTGAATTTCAAAGAGCATCCACACAAAATGATCTGGAAATGCATAGAAAGTGGCACATGACCCACAAACCAACTGTCCAATAAGAGAGTGACATAATGAAGCGCAGCTCTACATGACTTTGTTTTCATGGGCATTTTTACGGTACATTCAAATTCGAGGTCTGCTGACTTTTAGATACAGCTTCATATCAACCTCAATCGGTTTTGCCTGCCAATAGTCTGCAAGGTGACCTGCTGTCGAGGCGCACACATGCCCAACCAAACACAGGAAGCTCGCAGTCTAGCATATTCACAATGAAACAAAAAGAGAAAGCTAAGGTCCGGCCTGCTTCTTTACTGAGTTTAAAGAGGCTCCTATGTTGATTTTCCATTTGACACTTTTCATATTTGAATCTACACACCAGGAAAGACATAAAGTAAGGAAGTCATATGGAATTTACTACACTACACATTTAATCCTGCGATACTGAAAGAGAAATGCAATTTTGAGTACATGGTGAAGAAATGCTGCTGCAGTAAAGGAAACTGTCAGCATGACTCTCTGGGAAGAATTCTTAAGAAATAAATGTGTAAAATGACAGAAAAAAGCTCGTGTGTGACTAAATGAAACGCAAGACTAAATGGTGCATACGGTAAAATGTGCTTTTGTTGACTGGTGGAGGGCTCGGTGTTGAACCACACTGGAAGTGAAAAGGCTTTCTAATCAAATGAATCAGTAAACTATATGCACTCCCTGGCAGCTGGTCAACTGCTCATTAACGCAATTATCTAGTCGGCCAATCGCATGGCAGCAACTCAATACATTTGGACAGGAAGACATGGGTAGGACAATCTGCGAAAGTGCAAACGGAGCATCAGGAGGAAGAAATGTGATGTAAGTTCTCTAAGTGACGAGTATTTGTCAAGCAAACCACAAAAACAAAAAACAACTGAAAAACATTTGATTGACAGACTTTTAAATCGTCTGTAAGGATTTGGAAACTGAAAAGCCAAACGACTGTATTGTAGAAGAATGGGTTAACAATTACTGTATCAAAGAGAGTGACAGCATGTGGAATAAAACATTTCCTGTGCAGAGGGCGATCGGGATTATTCATGCTGGATAACTTTGACCTGTGACCTCCTCCCCGCCACAGCATCAGGTGTCCAGTTTGTAGCCCGTCACAGATTAAACCTTCGTAATCAGCTCCTTCAGTCTGTTAGCATCACAAGTTTAAAGCTGCTTCCTTGGCAGACCACAGTAAAGTATCTGATGGAACATTTGCTGCATGTGTTGAAGGATCTGAGCGTCTATAGGAAGTCGAGCCTTCTTGTATGCAGCCTGTGTTGGTCCTTCAGTCCTATCTAATAGGTCCTCATCTCCATGGACCTACAGGGTGCAATATGCACCAAACTACTGTGCTACAAAAATGGGAAATAGATGCAGCAGTTTACTGAAATGAGGCATGAAATTCCCCTTTCTGTTGGCATAGAAACATTTAACTGGACATTTAATCTCTGAGATTTGTTGGTATACGAAGAAAAACTGTGCAACACCAGCAGTAAGTCTCAGTTTTTCTACACGATAAAGATGCTGTAGTTTACTCTGGACACATTATACGATCAAACAAACAATAAAAACAGGAACTTTCATTTAATCATTACTGTACCATGAATGTGTGCACGAGAGGTCTGTATCAGTAGGACCAGCTCGAAAATTACAGCCCAAAACTTTGTCCTACTTCAAGATGTCCTTGCTGGGCCGATTCTGGCCCACGGGTCTTATGTTTGACACCCTGGAAAGCAAACAGCACACTAACATACATGCTTTACTGACCACACATTTCGTGCTCATACATCAGCAAGGGCGACACAGAACCATCCAACTTAACCACACAACACACAGTCTGTTTTAACTGTAATTTAATTTTAAAGCTGATCTAAAATATTGAGCACGACTTCTACCACCTCACGTTTCTCTCTCTCAGGAAAGCCTGATGTTGGTTGACTGCTGCCGCATGCTTTCAGTTGTGTTACTCTTACAGTCGGGTGAAACATTTCAGGGGAAACATCGGAAGCGTCGGCTCTGAGTGGGTCCTCCTGTTGCCCAAAGAGCATCAATCAGCTAAGTAACACAAACACAACCAGTGCAGAGGACGATGATCTCACCCATGTGTTATAGCTCAAAACCATTTTAATAACCAATTATTAAACCATATGCAGAAACCTCTTAATAGTGCTGTGACCATGCAGAGCCATTTTATACGCACTCTATATTAAAAATGAATGAAGCTTAATGAGAAAAGCAGCCCATTTCCCATCATCTGCTTCTGCATCAGTACTTCAGGACTCCAAAAGCAACATTTTGGCAGGATGTTAATGCTTCTCTTGTGAATGTATGGCACCAGGCTTCAGGTCGCACATTAGCAAAGCACTGACGCATACATACACAACCCACAATAAGTATGAACTACTATTTATTAAGTCTTATAGCTCTAATATAGCATAATGTGCCTCAGTTAGCGGTGCAGTGGTGCATATCATACTGATAGCAGGATTCATGCTTTTTGAAACAAGGACTCAGGTCTTCCGAGAGCCTTTTGTGAAAGAATCTGTCGTGTCTGCTGAATTCCCATCGTTCAGCACTGTCTGCCACGCTTCAGGTCAGTGTTGTCTCCACTGACTTCATCTTAGTCAGTACTGCTGAACCCTGCAGGTCACGAGGATCTAACACAGAGGCATTTAAAAATGTCTTTAACGTGTACACAATATTTAGCTCACCAAAATATTTATAGTGCATTTTTCAACTCTGGTCCAAGATCCAATGGGAAGATTAACCCAATGATTCTGTCAGTGTTGTCTTTGACTTGAGAAGCTTTAGCTGTTTGTTTAAAGAGGAAGCCCAGAGTGTGGGAATCAGAAAAGTCAGAGGCTGACCTCAAGCTGCACTGTTGGAAGCGTTAGGATGCTGTTTGTTTTAGCTCGACTCATTCACACGTCTTCAATGGCAATGAAGCAGAACACTGAGACACAAACCACTGAAACAGGGCCTGCTTGGAATGAAAACAAGGCTCAAGTTTATGATAATAAGACAATCACAATGAAAACAATAGAACACTGTCGTCCTACAGCAGGGCAACTCTGACTGACTCAGGTTTTACAATCGCTCAGATGACACAAATTTATTGCATAAACAATGTCAGATGTTTTCAGAAACCCTCGGGGCTGGTGAAGTGAGAGATGAACACCCGAACTGTGATTATGATGTTTCTGTTTTCACAGTCCCCCTGACCTCATTCAGTGCTGTGCCATGTACAAAATCAAACATTGTTGCTCTCTGATACAGCGGAGCAGGTTTTGTGTAAAGTCCAACGGAGCTCTAACAAAATGAAGAAACCTCACCGCTGCTTTCTGACAACATTAATCAGCGATATTTGTCTTTCACCCCCAAACTTTGGCACTTGCTAGGTTCTAATTTTGGGACTCTGTGTGCTTATACGTACACACCTGCATGCATGCAGGCACGTGTGGTGGACGATGTTTTTCTTCAGCTCTTCTACAGGCCGACATAAAAATTTAACCTGGGACAAATTAAAAAAAGAAAAAAATCTGAACAAACATTTCTCTACATTAGCAGCAACGTCACAGACCAACTGGGCTGCAGCCAGTTACATTAAAAAACCCCTAAAATAAGCACCCAAGCTACTCTCTCTCATTCCCATCTGGATCATACAAGAGAAACGATGCAGAGTCCTTTTTTTGTTTGCTTAGAAATGTGACCGTACGTTACCATTACAATTACAACAGAGTGCCAATTTCATGAATGTTGTGAAGAAAAATGAAATAAATCTGACTGAACTGTCCCTCAAAGTTTCCTTTCTATAATCACCTTTATTCTCATCTACTTCCCGATTCAGTGTATACTCGTAAAAGAGACAGGGATGGGTTATCTTCCAGCTAGTCCTACTAACAGCATAGAATAGACACACATATTGAGAGCAATGTATATATTATCTTAGTATATATAATATACAAACAGTGTACATAGTCTCTGACAGTGGTGGACAGGATGAAGGGAGGCAGGACGATCGGCTGAACCTGTAGTCTCTGTTTGGTTCCCAGTGTGTGTGTTACACCCTTTCCACATCAAAAATACAACCTGTGTTTGCCGTTTGTGCATCAGGGTTGACGTATCTGAAGCAGGTCCTCCACTCCGCGCTGCTGCCTGGCCTCTAAGGGAGGCTGCCACCGCTCGGCTACACTCAGATTACAGCTGGAGCACAAATGGGACAGTGTGATATGTATATATGGGCGAGTAGAGGATCTGATTAAATCAAGAAAACAGTGGTTTGTAACCATAACTCCCACTGTCTGTCAGTGTGAAAACAACACTGCACATTTCATGACCCTGCAGTGAAACAAACCCTGTAAATCAGTGGGCGCTGAAATATGTGAACGGTCAAATGCAGGTTGAACCTGAGGTCCTGTGTGTCACACAGGGTGTGGAAAGCTGTAGGAGAATGTGAGTGTGCGTGTACATCTCGGCGTGTACAGGGGAAGACTGACGGGAACATCTGTGTGACTGAAAAATAGAAAGGAAAACAAAACCAGTCAGATGAATTAATTTAATATTTAATAATGTGGGTGACATGTGTCACCATAAGCCCCACTCACCATGCTGTGTCACATTGTTCTGCTGTACTGGATGCCGGTCTTGGAGGCGATATTGGACCAGGGGAGCAGCGAGCGCAGCAGGGACTGGGCCTGTCGGTACAGCCTCTGAGGGATGGAGCAGGGGCTCAGGCTGGCCAGGGTTGAACCGATGTGCTGGATATAATCAGTGGGACAGGAAGTCAAGGAAAAAGAAACAATGCAACATTTACTTTTTCTCCTGCAACATCTGGACAAGTATGGCCCAGAGGAAATGAAATAACAGTGAGTAAGTGAAGTATTTTCCTGCTTCCAAAAAAGGATATAATATTGTCCAGGGTGGATGACCCCCGTTGATGTAGAGCACATATGTGAATCCATCTTTGAGGACGCCTCGGATGGAGTAGTAGTAGGGTAGGTAGTGGTGCTGCCTGAAGTCCCTGTTCTCGTAGAAGTTGATGGCAGTGTTGTTCGTGGTGAGAACGTGTAGGTAGATTGCCTTACAGTGGTCCTGGGCTGTCGTCGATATGTGCTCCTTCAAACTGTCCAGCAGCAGTGAGCCTGAATCGTTTCAATCAATATTAATGTACTGCAACATCAAATTTACATCAAGTCTCACAGCAGATGAGTTTTGAGCGTAGTTCCAACATGTGACTCAACAGATCAAATCATTAATGTCTTTGATGAGACAGTGTCTAACCCGCGATTCGTTCAGATTCTTGCTAACTGAATAAAGGGTGTTAAATTAGTTCTGAACAGTTTTTGCCTCATCTTGGTGTTGTGACTTCGAGATGTTACTGGATGTGTTTTCTTTACGTACTTTTCAATTCAATTAAATGTAATTTATATAGTGCCAACTCATAACAGTCACCTGAGGTGGCTTTATATTGTAAGGTAAAGACCCAAATCCAACAATCTGATAATCCCCCATAAGCAGCATCTATGACTGTGGGAAGGAAAAACTCCCTTTTAACAGGAAGAGACCTCCAGCAGAAGCTTCAAGAAGGGGCGGGGCCATCTGCCCTGGCTAGTGGTGGTGAAAGAAGATAAAGAAGGAAAAAAAAAAAAAGAGGACTGTTCTAGTACACGTAAAAAAAGCTAGTAAGCCAAAAAATGTTAAAATGTAACAAAACACAAATAAAATTGTATAAACTGGACTTCCTCAGCCTAAATGGCATGGAGGTTGTATAACCCCAGATTAGTTTAAAGGGAAATTATTCATTGCATTTTCTGACCATCAGGTTTAAGGCACTCGTGCCCTGGCTTCACATTTCAGACCTAGAGGCTGTGTTTGTCTCGTACATAAAGCCTTTGGTTTTAGCCACAACTGCAAACAGTGTGTCTGTTTACCTATGCCATGTTTCCTGAACTCTTTGACCACTCCCAGGCTGAGGATGTAGGCTACCTGTGTGTCCACGGGGAAACTGGAGGCCAGGATGTCTCCATCCTAACACGCATACATAGAAAGAAACAGACATATACACAAGTTGATTATTTCAACGTCCACAGTGGGTGACAGAATAAAAACGACACTTCTTCAAGCTTTGTTATCTTAAGTTAATCGTCCATACTCTAAACTTTCTCTCCGCCCATCGAGATCTTTGCCCAGGGAGATTAACCACAGGCACGGCAGTTTATAAAATGCAAATCCTGTACCAACGGAAAAAATGTCAGATTAAGAACACCTTACATGCTAAAGTGAGAGAAGCAACGTTTAGACATTTGTTAAATGGAGTCAGTCGAATTCCAGTGTTTTGTAAATCTACATTTGCCACTTTTTGTACCGATTTCTCAGATGTTGGAAATGTCACATTGAAAACATGCCAGAAATTTGCATACTGCACATTCAAGTTTGGAGCTTATAGTCTAAACTCATTCAAACAAGATAACATTGATCCCGATCAAAGCAAAATCAAATCCATTGCACTTCGTTTACACAAAATTAAAAAAAGACCACAAGTTACAGCTCTTCTTTCATCAGTTTCTTTCTCATTACCCTCTTCTCCTATATTTCGGGCTAATGAACCTATCTTTACCAAAGGTATCCTTTTTGCCAAAGCAGTGCACTAAAAACAGTCGACTATGTCAGTGATCTACTTATGACATCTCTAAGCAGCAGCAGACATTCACACACTCAGTGACACTATGTCCAGAGAACACAATGTCATATTTTGGAGGAAATCCACATTAAGAACGTGTCTCTTTCTAGCTGCTGCTGCAAAACATTAAAAATATTATACTGCACCTTTGACTGGACTGACAACATGTTACACTTTCTGAGCAAGAGATGGCACATCCAAACTGAACCTCTTACCTCTTTGTGTACTTTGGTCCGACCTTTGATCTCGGCCACAATCATTCCCACGATGCCTCCTCTGTAGGTGGCAGCGAGGGAGAAGAACTTCTTGTTGGAGGTGATGTCCTGATACCATGAGTCTGGGTACCTGGAACCAAACGTCAGACAGGTCTCATATCAGACTATTACTCAGACTCCAGAAGGTCTGCTTAACTTATGGGCCGCTACTTGTTAGCTCACTGGGCATTCAGTTAACAGGAGTCCATTTATGCCAGTCAATAACAATGAAACAAAGACAGTTCCTATACACACAAATCTCGGCCAATGACACTCTCAGTATGATAACTTACTCGATTGGGAACCAATCACCACAGAGCAGCTTAACGTTCTCTATGTCATCGTGGCAAAGGAAGCGGAGCTGGACTTCACTGAGGGCTGTGGGAGGCACCACGTCACTCATTCACACCTGCAGGTTCCAACAGAGTGCACAGGAGAGATGGTGAGACTGCAAAAGCAGACTAAAAAAAACACCCTTTACAATTAAGTACAAGGTACTGACTAACACTGAGGCATGCGGACCTCTGCTATTGTGCAGTTCTAGATAACAAAGAGAAGTCAGGTAAGCCCTCGCACAATTAACACGCATTACTGACATTTATAAAGGTTAGAATGACACACATATAAACGGACCAGCAGAATGAAACGCAATTATGACGTAAAAAGCCCCAGAAAATTAAACGCAAATATGTAATAGGCATCAAATAAGGTTGCCCATAAAAAGTGAAGTGACCATTAGCAGTCGTGTACACAAACCTCTCAAGTTCTTGTAAATACGAAAACAGTGATGTTATTTCTTTATTTACGTAACATCCCGGCAGAAACGGAGCATGCTGCCCGTGGTATCAACAGTGTCACTCTTGTGTCCGCAGGTTTAACCACATTTCAGCGTACAGCACACAGGCTAGTGTTAGCTGCCGCTAGCTAGCGCTCTGATGCTAAGCTAACGTACCTTGTTTCTACACTCGGACCGGAGGAAAGCCGAACACAATTAAATTCCTTGAGTGTCACTCGATACAGTCACCACTGCGGACACAGCATGATAAAGCACTGGTTTATTCCCGACTCTCAAAGCCGTTTCATTACGGAGCCACTGCTACAAGGGTTGCTACGCTAACCAGAGCTCTCCGTGCTTTGATAACAGCTGGATGTTTTCTTCCTGTTTGTGGCTGCTACACGAGTGACGTCACTTCTAAGGCGTTTCCTTGTTCTGTTCAGTCCGTTGGCGATTTGTCGCCACCTGCTGGACAGAAGTGTGTTCTACAGGAGTGACTCCTCCATAAAGAAATGGGATGAGAAAAAAATGAATTAAATTCAGTTTGTTTGTTTGTTTGTTTTTTATCTTAAAAACATGGATTCATTTGTGTTTTCGTTGCATTAACAAATTATTGCGGAAAGTAAAGACAACAGTGGTTTACTGGACATTAAAATGTTTTCTGAAGTATCAGTACTATCGGCAGTACTGGCCCTGTATTTACTTGCTATCAGACCGGCGCGAACATTTGCAGTATGGCACAGCACAGAGGCGCTGCTTATCATTGATAAATAAGACTTGCTCTGGCTGAATGAAGGCGAGGAGTTCATTTCATGACACATATCAGTGTGCAGATTCAAAACACACTTAACCTGAAATGTTATCAAGTTAAAGTTAGGAGAGTAAGAAAAAAGAAACCGGTAAGAGTGGACATGTTGTCAAAGATAAAGCCAAGGTAAGGTCTGTATAGCCCCGATTCACTGATGATGATTTCATGCCCCAAACAAAATACATTTGTTGATATGAACTGGTTCGTAGTCATGTTGGAACAAGAAGGGACCATCTCCAAACTGTTCCCACTAAGTTGGGGGTATGAAATTGTCCAAAAATGCTGAAGCATTAAGAGTTCCTCTCACTGGAACAAAGGGGCCAAGCCCAGGTCTTGAAAAACAACTGCACACCGTAATTCCCCTCCACCAAACGGCAACCGCCAAACCCAGACTTATCCATCAGATTGCCAGACTCAGAAGTGTGATTGGTTATTCCAGAGAACAGGTCTTCACTGCTCTAGAGTCCAGGGGTGTGCTTTACACCACTGCAGCTGACGCTTTAGGTTGTGCTTGGTGATGTAAGGCTTGGATGCAGCTGCTCAGCCCCGGAAACCCATTCCATGAAGCCTCACACTGTTCTTGACCTAATCTGAAGAAAATTGCAGAAATTTGGTGACTTTTTATATACGTGTGGCCATGAAAGTGACTGGAACACCTGAATTCAATGATTTGGATTGGTGAATACTTTGGACTATATCTATATTGTTTTGTGTCATATGTGTCATGTCATTAGCAAGAATGGGATTGTCCCATTCAGCCTTACCAACCTCATAACTAAGATCCACTGTGTTTCAGAGGGTGCACAGTCTAGTTCCATCAGGTATCCTTCAGGCAGAATTTTCATGCATTTATTAGAGTATATTAGATAAACACAAAGTCAGAACAATCACAGGTCTGCAGTTAAAACAATGTCAGCCAAGCCTGAGGAGGATATTCTTCAGTGGAATCCACCCAACATTTAGACAACCTCCTTTAAGCAAGCACTTGGCGACAGTGGGAAGGAAAAAATTCCCCTTAACAGGAAGAAGCCTCCAGCAGAAGCAGGGTCAGAGAGAAATTTGACTATCATCAACAAAAACAAGTGGACTTTAAAAAAACAGTCAGAAACCCATCTAAAAGACAGAAATGAAAAATGGCCACGTGCACATTCAGTCGGTCACATAATGTCAGCGCGCCCTCTGGTGGTTATCTGCTGGTACTGCAGTAGCACGAAAACCAAGTCAGATTAAATAATTAGTCAGAAAGACACAAGTACTGCAGTTGTATGTCTCCTTTTATTTTTATGTATGTTTTACTTTTATTATAGTGATGAGAATGTAACTGCAACCATTTCAAGCATTTAGATTCAAAGGTCGTTTGCACTGTTGTCTCCTAGTTGGGCTTTTAAACAAAGACATGTCAATAACATACATTATCTGTAAAATGCACATTAAAAACACAAAAGTCAAACACATCAATGTATAGACACAGATGCAGCAATAATAATTCCTTCAAACTGAAACCGTCTGGGTCCAGTTTGAGTTCTACTGGTGAGGAATTCTGCATGTTTATAACCCTCACGGAAAACATTTGCTCAAATAAGGATTTCATGTCACAGCACTTTGGAGTTTCCAGTATATGATCTGGCTGAAACCAGAACTCTAACCCACAAGGTCCCTGAGCACCTGCGAGGAATGGTTACTGGGAGGAATGGTTATTATGTTAACGTTTGTATGGCAGTCTTAGATTAGCAATTAGCAATATCAAGACTTTTAATTGCCTGTCTGCTCATCATGGAGATGCTACTCAAGAGATTACAAAGTAATTTGAATGTCTGGTAAAGAAGGAGGGAGCCTAGATCCTTAGAGCCTAGATCAGTCAGGTCAATCCAGGTTTATAGAGCCATTAATGACCTTTTGACATTAAAACCCAGAAAGCTGGTATTTCTCCAGTGATTTACATCATTTATACCTGGAGCTTCAGTGCTGACAACTATTTCCTGTTTCCACATATTAGCCTCAAGGGGACTGAGTTTTTAGTTTACTGTTTCAATTCTGTGTACTTGCATGTTCTGACTGTTTTCTCCAGTTTTTTAACGTAGCTCCTTTAAGAGGCTCCTTCACGGTGCTAACCTGTTGGCACACCTGTTCTCCATAATCATCAGTGAGCACAGCAGTTCATCCACCAAAGATCTCTCTGGGATTCGAAGCTGCTTCACAGCAGAGCTTCTCTGAGTTGGTGGGCCTGAGATCCTTCTAAGGTAAACACCCAGTTTACGTTTGCTGGAGTTCTTTTGCATGTTTAGATTAGTTTACCTCTTGAATATTTGTAACTCAGGTGTCTTTGGAGAAAAGACCACAGAATCAACTCACAGCTTTACTATGACTGCATGGTAGTCTCCTTGTTTGCCATCATGGTTAATGCCAGAACCTGAAATTAACGAATGCTTTCTAAATAATAAGAGAAGAAGTCAGAGGGATGTCGTAAAGAAGATAAGACATCTGTAACAGCAGTTGAAGTTCACACTCGGGGATCTGTGGATTTCCTGAGTGAGAAATGAGAAAGACAGGTCAGTGTGATGGGAACGACAGAGCTCGGCTGTATCCAGTACAGCAGCAGCTGCAATGACAGAATTAATAAAGCAGACTGTGAGCTATGTTTTGTAACTGCAGAGAGTCACCATCACTACGTTGCAAACATGTTGTTTGTCTGAATATATGGAGTTGCTGTGACTCATCTGCTGTTTTTCTCGCTTGTGTGCAAAATCCTGAAGTTGAGTCGGACCTTGCCAACACGCAAGTGTCTGCCTTTTTAATTTAGTGATTGCACACAACCAGGAAGTCAAATTTAATCCAGTTCTTCGCCTCCTACATCCTCAGCATCAGCATCTTGATGCTTGTCAGGGACATGACGTCCAGCTCTTCTGAAGATCGTAGAATTCCAGATGCTGAGAAGCTTTTAATCAAAACATTAGTTCAGTTAACAAATCCAGTATTTGTGCGGCGGGACTCTTTTGGTTTCTGTGCAGTTCATTTAGATATCGTATATTGTCCACACTGACAACGAATGTGGGGAAAGAAATGTTAAAGCTGCCTCCTGGCACGCGCAATCATCAAGGTAAGGGAGTCCCAGAAAGCTGATCCTCTTCATCAGAACGTAGCATTTCCTCACTGATCCGAGTGACTTCCCTGCTCAGTGGCGCTGTCCTTACTGGTTTTTAATCCTACATCTTGCAGTCATCTTGATTTAATCCAGAACAGGCTAAATCTTTGTAAAATGTCATTAATGTGCGTTTTATTCTGGGACTAGGCTCAAGCCTTGTCTGTGAAACTGGCCCAATTAAAATCAGTTTTTCCACAGGTGTTGGGAGGTGAAAAGAGTGCGACGGAAGAGCAGAGGAACGCTGTCGGCCATCTTAGTCCAGCTCAGCCACTGAAGAAGGCAAAAAATGGCTTATTTACAAATGGTGAGACAGCAACACAAAGACGTGATGAAGTAACAGACAAACAGCATACTTGGCTCGCTCTTTGCACAGCACGCAACAATAATAAAACATTTTCAGTAGAACTTAAATCCTATGGAGGCACTAACACGTCTGCACATGGTTTAACTCATTAAGCTTGCTCCATGACAGCTGTGTCTTTGTCGCTATAGGGACAAACGGACCCGGGCGGGGAATGCTCTCAGGAGGCCGAGGATGCTCGCCCAACGACCAGTGGAGATGAATCCCACACTTGCGATCAGTGTGAAAGGACTTTTGCTACCAAGAGTCGCCTCACAGTACACAAACGGATCCACGCAGATGTAAAACTGTATCGCTGTGACGAGTGCGGGACTTCTTTTTGTCGGAGCAGCAGCTTAAAAAGGCATCGCGTCATCCACAGTGGGCTCAGACCGTACACGTGTGAGCCCACTGTGGGAAGACTTTCAATCAGATGAGCATCTTGGAAAGGCATCGACTCCTCCACAGTGGAATTAAACCACACGTATGTGACGAGTGCGGGCTGGCTTTTACCTGGCTGCCAAGCTTGAGGAAACATCAGCTGTCCCACTCTGGGAGTAAGACATTTTGCTGTGACCTTTTGTGGACAGACTCTTAGCCAGCCAGCAACGCTAGAAGAACACACACAGATTAAGATGGTCCTGTGACCAGTGTGGGGAAAGCATAAAACCAGTTTAGAGACCATTCAAATCTGAAAAGTGTGATTAAACCGCTGCAAAGAGATCCACACAGGATAAAGGTTACGCAGCCACTGCATACTCTTCAAAACTGTCTTTTCTGCCAGACTAATTTTGGCTGTTGGACAGCTCCCCTCAAATTGTGTGGCTTGCTGAGATGATTTTCTTTGTTCCCCTCCTTCAGTAAAGTCCCACTCTTTGCTCTTGCATCGTGCTTCTGTAATACGTATCATAGAGGAGATCTGTTAAACACAGTTTATGACCTCATTCACATTTTCCAAAGCTGCCATGACACTGGATTGTCTCATGAACCTACTTTAAACTCCGTGTGCTGCCAGTGGCTCTGAGCGAAAGTGTTGTTTTCACTATCACTAGTTAGCTCTTCAGCTGGGGCCCTGTTTTTGTTCTTTTTCTTGGAGCTTCACATTATTACGTTGGGGCTGGATCAGGTTAGCCCTTAACTATAAGTCTAAGGTAGAAAAAGTACAAGTTTTAAGTGTGATCTTAAAAGTAGAGAGGGTGTCTGTCTGCCAAATCCAAACTGGGAGCTGATTGCTGCCTCCCATTCTACTTTTAAATACTCTACAAACAACAAGTAGGCCTGCAGTGTGAGAGCGACGTGCTCTGTGTTGTAATGTCTGCGTAGGTTCTCAGTCAACCAGGTCACGGTTGGTTTTGAAATGAAGGCAATTTGACTTCTTTGGTTTGTGAAGATGTTTCACCTCTCATCCTAGAAGTTAAGTAAAGTGGGAGAGTACCAGGAATTTAACCTCTTGTCTTAGACTCTGTATCACCAGTGAACTATTCCCAGCATAAAATGACACAGACAACCCTAACGTACTTTGTCTTTGTTTTAGTTGCAGACTGAAGCAGATGCATGCAGCGCTGTAGTAGCCACTGTTCTTTACCGGCTTCTTCACAGCGGGCCCCAACTGAAGTACTGAGAAGAACTTGGAAGATGTTTCTCCTCAGAGGCTCATTAAAAGTCCATGGAGTCACCCACAGACAGGAAAAACCGGGAGTTGGGGGGTTCCTAGAACTCAAATGTCTACTTTTCTTTTCTTTCTTTTCTGTGATCTGCAGTATCTGTAATTTCTGAAGTGTCACAGTGAACATTTGGTCACTTGCGTTTTTAACTTTGAACAGTTTTAATGTCCCACTGATTGAGGTGTGCATTCAGATCTCCCATCAATTGAACCTGACCAGTAGTAAAACATCCAGAAAGTAATCAGATCACCAAGTGAAAGCTAAAACTGCTTTTAACTGCTTATTAAACTGACTGCTTCTCTTAAGTAATTGATTAGCTGCTTAAAGGAAAAAGTGCCCCCCCCCTCCCCCCCAGCAGTTTAGTATTTATAGTTGAAAGAAATCTGATACTAAGGTAACTTTTTGAATCTTAAATTGTATATTTTTTGTATTCACTGTATTTTTTCTTTCTTTCTTTTGTTGTTGTTGCATGGAATCAACACATCTGTACATATAGTACTGCAGTAAAACTGTATTTTTAGCAGTGTTTAAAGTTTGGTTGAGTTGTACTATTGGACCGTGTGTTAACATCATGTATTATGACACGATGCAACATTTTGGAACGACTTGGCTTCTTTCGTGTTTAGGCGGTGCAATGTAGCTACAACATGTCACATGTAATGATCTTCCAGTGTTTTTCCATAGGTTAAAAATAAAATCCTGTTTATAACTTCAGTTTGTACTGATGGTCAGTGAAACAGTAAAGCTCTCTGACTTGTAGCTCCTCATGTTTGAGGAACACATATTAATTATACAGATTTGATGAAGTTGAAGTGCTGGCAGTCAAACTCATCGTCTACCATCAGTGTAGAGGTGGAAAGTAGTCCAGTGCTGCACAGTGTTTACATGCTTGTACTTTATCACACTAATGCTCTCTACTTAGACTGCATCCGACGTCAGAAGGAAATAATGTCCCGTTTTATGCACCACATTCATCTGACAGCTTTAGTTGTTCACACAAAGATTTGACCGACAGTGACGTGAATCACTGCTCTGAATAAAAGCAGCCAGCGTTGTTCATCAGTTAACATGCTGCTTTGAAAGCCCTGCATTATTATTTGATCAATAATCAGTGTTGGGAAGGTTACTTTTAAAATGTATTCCATTACAGA